AAAAACTCTTGCGATTCTAGTGGCTTAGTTTTACCTCACGATACCTTATTAGTGAGTCTTGATGCTATTTTCTTATTCATGCGAGATTCTATAACACTAGATGGATGAAATTTTCTGTAACACAACACTTTCTTTACCTTAATATTTGGAATCTGTCAAGGAACTATTCGAACTCGATAACTTTGAATTTGATGATCAATTTCATTTTCAAATCTTTGGCTCCTCCGTGGTCTGTTTTATTCCTCCAGCACTGATCGGATTATTTATTAGAAACTAAAGTTTTTATTTCTATCTATATTATAGATGCATTTATATAAAGATACTTACTTCTATTACAGATATGCAGATGACATCATCACTTGTATCTCTCTTAAAAATTTTGGTTCTAACAGACATTTGGTTCTTAAAAAGAAATATCAGTTTCTTAGACATTAGATAATCGTATTCTCATGAATTGGTACCAATTTTTCCTTTTCATTGGTACCAACTTAATTCCCTCTTCTCAAATTTAAGCTACTAGTTTGAAACGAGTGTCTAATATGGTTTATAAGATCGCGTATGGATCGTGTGCAATAATTACGACTTTACTTATATTGGCGAAACTGGACAAAATCTTTTTAAGCGCCTAAAACAGCATGGCAATAATCAAAAAAATTAGTTTCTGATATACACACAAACACATATATATCTTATACATATAATTTCGTTCTTCTAGTTATATTCTATTTTCTTTGTTTTATACCTAGTTTTTAATTTAGATTTTTCTGTATTGGTTTTCCTTCTTACCAACCAGTACCTAGATAAGATTGTAATGATATGATTACAATCGTCGTTAAATCTTCAATCACTTCATCAGCACAACTGTCGATCATTTCGGAGCCAGATATATTAAATTTACAGCTGTTTTGTGAAATGCATTTTATACATTTGCAAGTTAATAATCAAGTTTTAAAAATGTAAATGCTTCTCCAATGAATTAAACAACAGCTCTATCAAATTGTTCAGTACATTAGATTCAAGGAAACAGCTTTGCACTTGACCTTTCATTTCACATAAAAGTTCGCTTATCATATTCAATGGGACATAGAAAGGTACTAAAAATAAAGATAAATGAGAAGACTTAATATCTCATGCATATCTGAAGGCATATAAACACAACAGACTTTTCCTAAAAACTAATCATTTCTTTACACCGCCAGCACATGCACAATATTTTTTGAGCCATTCTAATCGGAAGAGCACGCACACACATTATGCATCCACTTTTTAGGAAATCCAAATATATTCAAAAAACTTTGAAACTTTAAAGATATACTAGTTAAAAGTGGCATTTAGCCTTAAGGCAATTTGCATAAACTCCCCGAAAATTGTAAGAGTTAACATAATCATTGAAATTGATTTCAACTGTTTATTTCAAAATAAAGTTATCGCTTTCAATTAAATCTAAACATTGCGATTTCGAATAGAATTTTCTCAAACACATTTAAATTGACCGCGAATATATTAAATATATTACACAGACCATAGTGGTTGTATGTCCTAGATTTGTAGCTTATTAACTTCTCGAAGGAGAAGTTTATGTTTTCATAAAAAAATCCGATTCGCTAATTTCATGTTTTCTCGACGGATCGAATGAGACCAAATTTGGAAAAGTATGTGTGTGTACTCTTATTTTATCTATGTGTGTGTGAACAGATTTTTTGCCGTAGATCGAAGTTTTATCAAAAACGGCTGGACCGATTTCAGTAATTAAAAAGTAATTTTAAATGTTTTTCTTTCATATAAATTAATTATATACATATACAGATATTAATGGTTCAATGAAATATATTATTTATTATATTTTTTTAAAAGAATGGGACAACATTCAGCGGACGGCGCATGAGGTATGTTGCAATTGCTCATCTCATGCAGGCCAGACAGGTGAAGATTACCTGACACCAACTCAACGCGCTCAAAGGCAACTGCGTAGGTTGAGAGCATTGTTAGGACAGGCGCGCAAGGACCTGGAGAGACGCGATAGTGACATCTTTAGGTAAATGAAGCTTATTATAGTTTATAGTTTATAGTTTATAGTTAGGTGAAAAGTCTCAAACATAAAGAAATTTCACCACTAAACGCTTTATTGTGCGTTACATAAACATGAGCATTACCACTCAACTTCTAAATGACTTTGAACATGGGTAACGCGTATTTGAGCTAAAATATGAAAAAACAAATAAAAGTATATATACAACGGAAATCATGAAACCGCAGGTGACGTGATCCGAGTTCATCCCATGTCTGGAATGAAAAGAAAAATTAGATATGTTCAGTAGAGAAAACTGAAACATTTTAGATAATCAATGCATGTTTCAGAATAAGATGCACAATTCAATATCATTGTTTTGGGTATCATTAGAAGATCAATAATAATAAATGCAATGTCGACAGTTGCTGATATAAAATAGACTTCAATCAATCCTGTGCGTCAATGTTATTCTAATGTGGATCTGCAAAAAGGAAGTGGCGCAGTATCAAATATATATATATATATATATATATATATATATATATTACTAAAAATGCATTTGAATAAAAGATATTTTACATAGAAAGATTTAGTAAAATTAAATAATAAATAAATGTATTAAATAATAAAATTTAGGGAAAAGATGACATGAATGAGAGGCAGATGATTACTATATTATAATTGGTTAGCAAAGTATTGTTTAATATCAAAATTAACAAATTCTGAAATATCATAAAAATATTGAAATTTTAAAAATTTTACTATAGTATTGTGGAATTTATGATTATTTAATTTTCGTATGTGAAGTAGTAGTAAGTTAAAAAGTTGAATTCCAAATCCGTCAATTGAGTAAAAAGACGTTGCTAGTTTAAATACTGGTGCTTTAATTGTTAAGTTTCTTGTCTTGTAATGAGAATTCGACATCAAAGACAAGTTGAAGCGTTCGGGATTATTTTTTATAAACGATAAAGTAATGAGCAAAAATATACTGGGAACGGTAAGGATACTATGCTGACGAAAAATGTTTTTACAAGAAGATAAAGAACTAATAGAAAAAAATATTTTCAAAGCTCTTTTTTGAAGTTTGAAAATGCGATTATGAGATGAAGAGAACCCCCAAAACTGGAAACCATATGCGATGTGCGAGTAAAAATTGGAGTAGTAAATTGAGAGAAGACAATTCAAACTAACCTTAGAATTAAGGACTCAACATAAAACAAGTTTTCGTTAAATTATGTGTTAGTATAGAATCAATGTGATAGTCCCAATTTAGGTTTTTATGCAATTGTATGCCTAAAAACTTCGAGAGAGAAAAAAATTTGAAAAGAGTATCGTTTACGTTCAGCGAACTTATCTCATTAATAATTTCATTAACAGTACGAAATGGCATTATTTGGATTTTATCATTATTGAGTAAAAGATTATTGGATTTAAAGCAATTGGAAATTAAAGCCATTACTAAATTTAATTTGTTACTTATTTCTTCTAAAGAATTTCCCTTAACAACAATACTAGTGTCATCAGCAAAAAGAATAAATTTACAAAGATCTGAACAATTTGGAAGATCATTTATATATATAAGAAATAATAAAGGTCCAAATATTGAACCTTGAGGGACGCCGAGTTTGATATTTAATTTGTCTGATATTATTACCGAACCATCATCATCGCTCAAGTAAACAGATTGAGTCCTGCTTGATAAATAAGATGAAAATAAGTCAAGAGCTAAACCACGCACGCCGTATTTTTCAAGTTTATTACAAAGGATATCATGGGAGATACTATCAAAGGCTTTGAACAAGTCACAAAAAATTGTAATGCAAAAGCTACCATTTTCAAAAGAATGAACAATATCATGTAATCAAGTGTATATAGAATGGGATGTTGAGCATTTTTGTCGAAATCCGAATTGATTTTTAAATAGAATACAGTTTTTTGTTAAAAAATGATTAAGGCGACTATGTAATATTTTTTCAAAAAATTTTATCAAAAGTATTTAATAATGAAATTGGTCTGTAATTATTAATTAAATCAGGGGCCCTTTTCTTATAAAGAGGCTTAACTTTTGAATGAAGATGATTTGAATAGGTGCCTTTATCGATAGCGTTATTAAAGCGTATGAGAAGTTTATCAATAAATAATGGAAAAAATTGTTTTAAAATGTAAGATGAAATGTATTACTAATAATACATGTATTTAATAATATAAGTTTTTATTATAACATTGTATGAAGGGTATCAAAACCAGATTGAAATTTTATGTCTGTATTTATATAAGATTGCAAGTTTATTTTATTTCAGAATTAACGATAATATTTTTTTAGTTTCATAAAATATCAATAAGTAGTTTCACTATTATACTCGTATTTTATTATCTTATCTAGGTTAACTAAAGAAGTTGTAGAATTACGTTTGTATAAGGCATCCTTGTGTTCTCCTGAGGATATGTCCAATTCGAGTGAAGCTGTAACTGGTGCGTATATATTTAAAAGAGAAGACAAATTTCCTCTTTATATTTTTAATTTGATTGGTTTATATCTAACTTTATATCCACTATATGCGTTTATATCCAACTTAAGTTATAAGCATGTTATAAGCAATATTAAAAATTTCAATTTTTAGTTGAAATATTAAAATATGAGTAAAATTAATTTATATTGGCATGGGTTTTAGCTACTTTAGCTACTTTAGAGACGAAATATCGAAACGCGCAAGCGCCGTGTCGCAGAGTAACGGATAAATCTTGATACGGAACCCATATAAATATTAACAAAATCTGTACTTATTATTTAAATCTCCATGCATTAATCTGATAATTTGATTCCCAAAAATTTGACCAGCTCTTCATTCTATCAATACAAATAAAAATTGAATTATTGAAATCGGATGATCCGTTCTATCAGAAACTGAATTACCATTTTTGCTACTTTTTGCCCCGAATTTTTGAAACGGCTGGAACTGCCTCTGCCAAAAACTAATCAGCACAAATTCAAAAATTTTACGGTTTTTTCACGTAATTAAAAATACACGTGATCTTTGGTGTGGGAGGGGGGTAATTTTGAATATCACCAAGGGGAAGGGGGAGTCCAAAAATCCTTAAAAACTCGTTCACGTGATTAATGGACGTTCCTATATTCTTTGATAATAGTAGACGAAAGTTACCAAATATGGTATACCATTTTGCTTTTGGGATATAAAAAAACTTCATATTAATTAAATCTGTTTAATGTTTTTACTAATCAGTCATACATTTATATGGGGTAATTAACTGCCTTTTGTCAAATATATTAGTTATCAAATTGAAATTTAATAAAAAAAACAAAATCACAAATGAGTAACCAAATATGGAATAGGTACCCATATATGGAATATAAGCATAAATCATCAAAAATGGCCATTAATATCTTGGTCCATCATCTCAGAGTTTTCTTCTTCACTATCATCCTTATTTTTCGTCTTTTGTTTGTTTATCTTCGTAGTTTTCTTCTTATTCTTTGCATTGATTAATTTGCTTTCTTTTTCTTGTTTCTTCATATTTTTATTTTCTAAATCATTTTTGTAGGTAGAATATGTTATGACTGCAGCTTTTCTTCTTTGCTAGATACTTTTCTTTGTTTGTCGGGCATACATATTCCATATTTATTAGTATTCCATAATTAGACACCGACGACTGTCCATATTTGGATTTTTATACTAGTTCAAACTCTTCTAAATATTTTTTTAAGTCAAAATATTTTAATGATAAAAGACCACAAAATGGTAAAATAAACATAATACCGATATTCTAAATAGTATAGCCCTTTATGTGTACAAACATAATAGCTGGTAATACTCATTTATTACTTACCTTTAAAACTTTCTT